CTTCTCTGCCCATATCTTACAGGGGGGAGGGGGAGGGTGTTGCACCCCCACAATTAAAGTGATCAATGTTAAATAGCTGGAAGGAGAGCCTGGGAATCATGTAAAGGTTATGGGCAAGATATACTCTGGTGACCACTACAAGGTCCTCTTACCAAAAAAATAACAAAGTGAGGTTCCTGGGACCCGAAGACTTAAGGGAGAGCCCAGCTGGATATTTGTGCTCAGAGGGACAGTGAGTACTGCTCACAATTTTTCTCTTCCTGATAATAAATGCATCATTACTGAGTCACCATCGGGGGCTGTGCCAATGAAAAATAACACTTGTGTCCCCTGCAATCAAGGGGAGCTGGGTCAACCCATCATTTGAGACGTGGTCCAGGTTTTTATCTAATTTGACCTTTCTCTGGATACTTGACCTTTCTCTGGATATTTGAGAAAGACTGCAGGAGATGCAGGAGACAAGGGTCCAATCTCTAGGTTGAGAAGATCCTCTGGAGGAGGGCATGGCAACCTACTCCAGTCCTCTTGCCTGGAGAATCCCATGGACAGAGGAGCCTGGTGGGCTGCAGTTTGTGGGGTCGCAGAGTCGGACACAACAAAAGAGACGCATGAAAATAATTTAAGCAGCATCTCATTTTCTAAGGATCATGCTAATTCCACTGTTTCTTCTCTGCTCGTTTTCTTAGCATCCTCCTCCTGAGGGTGTGATGCTGGCCCTTTGGCCTTCCCGGCAGATGACGAGGACTCCATCCACATTCAATGGGTCACCTGGCTCCTCTGCTCATTCACCGGGTGGCCTGGGGCAAGGCCCTTGAACTCACTGAGATTTAGTTTCCTCAACTGCCAAGTGAAAAAATAAACCTACTTCAGAGAACGTTGCCCAGGATTAAATGACGTGACAAATATGAATTGCCTCTACACAGAATAAGTGAAGGTAGGTGCCCTTGAGGCTGTTAAGGAGAACAAGACAGCAGGATGTTCATTATCTTATGCCTGTTGTTCAGTTGCTCAGTTGTGTCCGACTCTTTGAGACCCCATGGACCGTAGCACGCCAGGCTTCCCTGTCCTTCAGTATCCTCTGGAGTTTTCTCAAACTCATGTCCCTCGAGTCAGTGATGCCATTCAACCATCTCGTCCTCTGTCGTCCCCCTCTCCTCCTGCTTCTATCTTTCCCAGCATCAGGGTCTTTTCCAATGAGTCACTTCTTCTCATCATGAGGCCAAAGTATTGGAGCTTCAGCTTCATCATCAGTCCTTCCAGTGAATATTCAGGGTTGATTTCCATTATACTTACTTATTTGGCCCCTTTTATCAGCCCTTTAGTTTGGTTTATGGACAGGCTTTGTCCTACGACTTTTCAAATAGGCTATAATGGTCTTTTGACTTCTGGGAGATGTCATATTTATATAGAAATGCCTCACTATCATCTTTCCCATTTGGGGTCCTTCTGGTCCCCCCGCTTCCCTCTGTCTCTAATCAAGTGCTCAGTGCTCTGTCCTGCTGCACTCTTGCTGGTCTCTGCACCAGGAAAGCTCTCCTTACTACTTCCCCTACCCCAGGCTGTGGCTGCTTTCCCTTCTTTCACTCAGCAGGTATCTATTGCTCCAAGGACTATTCCAGGTACTGGGGATACAGCAGTAAACAAAACAGAGCCCCTGCTCTCCCGGAGCTGGCGTTCCATGGGTAGGATTAGAGAGGAAAGATGAGGTCGTCAGTCAATAAACCTATTAGATGTCAAGTGCTGGTAGAGTTATAAGAAAGAACAGAGCAGGCTAAGGGAACACTGTGAGGCAAGTTTAATCGGGAAGGGCTCTCTGATCAGGGGCCATTTGAACGGAGTCCTTTATTTATTTATTTTTTCGGAGTCCTTTAAGTTCAATGTTTTCTTAAAATTTATTTATTTTTAATTGGCAGATAATTGCTTTACAATGTTGTGTTTGTCTTTCTGCTATACATCAACATGAATCAGCCGTAAGCATGCGTATGTTCAGGGCCTCCCAGGTGGTTCAGTGGTAAAGAATCTGCCTTCAATATAGGAGACCCAGGTTCGATCCCTGGGTCAAGATCCCCTGGAGGAGGGCATGGCAACCCACTCCAGTATTCTTGCCTGGAGAATCCCATGGACAGAGGAGCCTGGTGGGCTCCAGTCCATAGGGTCGCAGAGTTGGACTCGACTGCAGCGACTGAGCATGCGGGCGTGCGTGCACGTGCTCTGGAAGCTCCCTCCCACCCCCCACCCCAGCCCGCCCCTCGGGGTCGTCACAGAGCCCCGGGTTGAGCTCCCTGTGTTATTCAGCAACTTCCCAGTAGCTATCTGTTTGGCATATGGTTATGTATGCATCTCAGTGCTTCTCTCTCAATTCATCCCACCCCCTCCTGCCCCTGCTGTGCCTGTAAATCTGTTCTCTGAGCAGAATCCTGAAAGATAATGTGGCAAGAGCCTTGCAGAAAATCTGGGAGCAATTATTCCAGGGAGCAGAAACAGTAAGTGCAAAGACCCCGAGGCAGAAGAGGGTTGAATATCCCTTCCTGAGAGAGCGTTCCCTGACATTCCAACTTGAATTACGTTCTCTCTCAGGACTCACTGTTCTTTTTCTTCATAGCATCCACTTCATTTATGTTTTATATATATATATATATATATATATATTTTAACATATACTTATTTCATTAGTCTCCCTCTCCTTATAAGGAGAGGGATTATAAGTTCCATGAGGGCAAGCATACTATCCATTACTGTCTTCCTTCATTTATATATCCAGAACTCAGCCTTCTATCTGGTATTTATTGACTGTACCAATAAATTTAAGCTGGTCACTAATGGCATTGTGCTGTAAATCTCTTACAACAATTCTTTTGTCTTGTCTGAGAATTTCCTTTTAGACATCAGTATATAGGGTGGGGGTGGGGTGGCAGTGAGGGGGATCTCCTCTGAAGAATTAACATGTTGCTTCTTACAGCTAATGAGCACAAATTGAGTATAATATTTCCATCTCTATTTTGTGTTCAGGGAATTTTATGCTCAGTAAGGACAATTCAGTTAAGATTTGGGGTTGGCATATTTACCTATGTTTTTTCTTGCTGAGATTGCATGTCTATTCTGCTTTTGTTTAGTTAGATCTCTGTTTTATGTAATGTGATTAAGAATCAAAGGGAGTGACATTTAAGTGAGTAGGAAGGAAGAACAGAAGGGAGAGGAGAGGGAGAGAGGAAAGAAAATAGATTCCCCTTCTTGAAACCACTTGTCACAGCTTTGCAAACCAAGACTGGGGCTGTAGCTAGCTCATGCTTTAGAAGTAATGATGGCTGCCTAGGACTAGTGCTTATCAGGACCAACACTACATTTTCTTACATACGATCTCATTAAATTAACAACAGGCTATAGGGTAGATATCACAGTCCAATCTTACAAAGAAGTAAATCAAAGCTCAAAGAGGCTAAATAATTTGTCTCAAAAAAGAAGAAACTAGAAATGAGTGCCTTCCTATGGCTTGGGCAGGGCTGTCAGAATTAAATCCAAATAGTTTTGCTCCTTCCTGACCCCAAACTCTATCCAGCCTCATCCTAATGGGAAGTGATCTGCTGCAATAGTGATCATTAACTCACCCCAGGGGCTGAGCAGGGTATTTTACAAACATCCATTATCTCCCTACAGCAGCAACCCCTGAATGCAGGTGCCTGCAATTGTCTTCAAGTTATTTTTAAAGGCTTTTTTTTTTTTAACTAGCAAAAGATAACTCAGATGGTAAAGCATCTGCCTGCAATGCAGGAAACACTGTTCAATCCCTGGATTGGAAAGATACCCTGAAGAAGGGAATGGCAACCCAGTATTTCTTGCCTGGAGGAGTCCACGGACAGAGGAGGCTGGTGGGCTACAGTCCATGGGGTTGCAAAGAGTTGGACACGACTGAGCGACTAACACACAAAAGAATGACGTGACACCAGTGGTAAACTGGCAAGTTGGCGGTGGGAAGCCACTCAGACCTGTGCTAAAAAGGGTGATAATGAATTCAGTATTGGCAATTCTGAGGGAACTGTGAGAAAACACCTAGATGCTCTAGAAGTAAAACAGGTTCCTCCTCGCTTCCACCGTGCGCCCTGATGTTTCTCCGTGGGAACTGCAACGCCTCCGCGGCTCAGGAACCTCCCGGCGATCCCTAGGAGTCTGAATTCCGGGACTGTGGGCCCAGGGGAGCCCACTCACCCGGCTCACTCGCGAGGCACTCATTTCTACTTTCTTCTTTTTTAAGACAAGTTATTTAACCTCTTTGAGCTTTGATTTACTTATCTGTAAGATTGGACTGTTGATATCTGCCCTATAGCTTTTTGTGAATTTAATGAGATTATGCGTAAGAATATGTGGCACTGGTCTTGATAAACAGTCACAAAGCACAGACGGGAACACGCGCCCAGGAAACACCCAGAAGTGTACAACGACCATTATTGCATGCCTCACCCACCCACCCACAGCAAACCACAAGTGCACAAGACCGCACAGACCTCATCCACTCCTGCACTCACACCACACACGGGCACGCAACATGCGGGCTCATGCGAGCTCGCGCACACGCTCACACCCACTGCACACACCCTCTCGCGCGCGCACCTACGCTCGCTCACAGGCACATACTTTCTTGCGTGCGCACAGACTCCGCACAGACCCGCGCGCGCGCTCACACCACGTGCACACGCCCTCTTGCGTACGCACGTACCCCCGACTCGCGTGCACACACCCGCGCGCACACGCTCCGTGCACACACCCTCGGGCGCGCGCAGACGCTCTCTCGGCCGATCTGCGAAGGGCGGAACGCGAGCAGCCCCCGGGGGACAGTCTGGGCGCGGCCAGAAGAGGGCGCGGCGCGGGGCGGTGCCGGAGTTGTTTGCCTGGCCCCGGTCGCCAGACTCTCCGAGGGAGACGCGCCAGCTCGCGCCGGGCCGGGTTGAGCTGGGCCGCCCGGGTCACGCCGGCGCTCGCGAGCGGAGCGCGGCGGGGAGCGCACCATGGACCCTAAGGCGGGTGGCGGCGAGGAGGATGACTGCGTGGACTCGGGCGCCGAGACTGGAGGGTGAGCCGCGCGGACCGGGCCGGGCAGTGGGCGAGGGGGGCACTCTTCGAGTTGCGCGGCGGCTCTTCCCGGCCGGGGACCTTCCTGGACCGCGCGCCCGAGCCACTTGGGCTGGCCTTGGGCCACTGGGGCTGCTCCTGCCGCCGGGTCCCTCGGGGAAGCCGGAGGGGCTGTGGTGAGCCCATCTGGGCCGGCCTTGAGAACAGAACGGCGTGGTTCGTGGCTGCCCGGGTCAGGGCGGTCCCCTCCCTGAGGGGCAGGAAAGTGGAAGGACTCTAGGTTCTGAGTAACCCCACACCGCCCCAGCCCCTCCTGCCCGCCGCTCTCACTGAGATGATGCAGCGTGCAGGGCAAATGCAGAGTCCCCCTGTATCCTCAGACCAGGGATGCTCTTGCACTTGTTTCTACCTTCCTCGAGGACTTTCTTCCTGTAACTCCGGAGCCCCCTGGAGTCCGGGACGGGGGCTTGGGGATGAGAAGTAAAGAGGGTAGGATACGTGAGACCTGGAAGTCTTTCAGAAGTCGTCTAAGAGGATGGCGTTTCTCATTTTATGGCTTGATTGTGCTTGGCGAGACGCCCTGTCTCCCCAACCCCTCCGCTGCCCAGCCGAAACTTCCTCGCCTCTGTGCGCACCTGTGCCAGCTGGAAGCACTAGCCTTGAGCACAGGTGGGGTGAGGATAGTGCTATGATCTAGCCCTGTTTATCATTATTATTAATTTTTTAATATCCTCTTCGCTTCAGCTGACTCAATTAGCCCAAACCTTTGGAGACTCATGTAATTAACCCTCTCCCACCAACACTGTTTTCCTGAGCGGGACAAAAGACTGAATGTCTTTTAAGAGACGGAGGCCATTGTAAAGGCTCCCGCCCAGCCCCTATCTCTAGAGGACTTCCCGGTGCAGAGTCAGCGCTACATCCCGGATGCGGGTACCGACCCAGAAGGAAAGGGTGTCTTTTCCTATCAGCGGTAACCCCGGGGGGAGCGGCGGGGAGGACAGGAGCTGCCCAGGGCACAGAAAGCCTCGTTTCTGGATGGTTGAGGGAGAGGGGGGCAATTCAGAATAATCTCAGGATTCGGCAACCCTGGGAGGACAGAGAGAGAGTCCAGGTCCAGAATGGACCCAGGGTCTGACCTGAGCCAGGGAGAGTCTCCCTAGGCAGCCCCTCCTGCCCGCCCACCCCACCCTTCCTTGCAGCCTCCACCCACTCGGCCCACCTCTGGGACCTTACTGCCCCAAAGCATTTACTGTGCAATATGCTTTCCTTGTTACCCGCTTGTGATCACTGAGGGTTCACTACAGAACCCAATTACCTTCCAGTGTTGCAACCTGATTCCAAATACTGGACTCCAGTGCTTCCTCCCACACTCTGTATATGTGAAGTTTATCCACTTTAATCAGAGATTCTTGGCTTCCTGCCTCCCTGTCTTTAGTTAGCTAGACCATGAGTAGAAGAACAAAGCAAAATTAACCAGCTTGTTTTCAGCTGGGTTAAATAAAGCATAAGCTGGTCCATTGGTTTTCAATTTGTGGAACTCACGTAAAACAGGTCTTTTTTGCAAGGGCTGTCTTGAAGAAGTGCAGAGGAAGCCCTGACCTGTATATCACACACACACCCCTCAACTCCGCACCCCCCCCCCCCCCCCGCCGCATCCCAAGGGACAGCATGACAGCTGTCAGGGCTCCTGGGAGGGGTTCGCTCAGCATTCTGCCACCACTCCGCCTCTGTCATAATGTGTACGTTAATAGGACAGAATTGTTTGAAGAATTCTTATTACTTCTGTAGCATTCTTAAAGCTAAAGTGGCATACATTTAAATGAAATAGTTTCGGCTATTTCTATTAATCTAGAAATAATTAATTAATAATTATTAATTAACTGCCACTTACTCATATATCCTTTAAAGTTGAGTTTACTTATTTAAAAAACTGTCCATAGTTTCCCTGCTTTTCCAGCGCTTGCCCCCTCTTACCCTATCTAGCTTCATATAGCTGCCTGTGGAGACTGTGTAGAAAATATGTAGAAAGCATTCAGTATGTGTTTGCTTCCCAGGTGGCGCTAGTGATAAAGAACCCACTTGCCAATGCAGGAGACATAAGAGACTCAGGTTCGATCCCTGGGTCAAGAAGATCCCCTGGAGGAGGGCATGGCAACCCACTCCAGTGTTCTTGCCTGGAGAATCCCATGGACAGAGGAGCCTGGAGGGCTACAGTCCACAGGGTTGCAAAGGGTTGGACACGACTGAAGCGACTTAGCACAGCATATTTTTAAAACACAAATCGGATCATGTCTCTCTGCCTTGCAAGCTTTTAGTGGTTCTGTTGTCTACAAAGTACAAAGAGTTTAGCATGGCCCACAAGCCCTGGTGTTGTGCAGTACCCCCCAACCCCCGCTCTCTGGCCTTGTCACTTGGCAGGCCCATCCTTGCACCCTGCATCCGACCACATCAGCTGGATTTTCTCCAGTTCCCTCGCCTGTGTCAAGCTGTCCTCTTTGCCTGCTGGGCCCTTCACCTGGCACGCTTGTCTGCCAGGTGAAACTCTACTCTTAGGAGTCAGCTCAAGTGACACATCTTCTAAGACAAGGAGTCTTAATTTGGGATGCGTGAATTGCTTTGAGCTGTAAGCAAAATGATGGGCTTTGTGCGGTTTTATGAGAAGACACTATTTTTCATCAGAGTCTCAGAGTAGCCCTTGGTCCCCTCCAAACCAAGTTTGGGCAGGGTATGAGAAGTTTCCTCTTCAACATGCTGTGTTTGAAGTATTGGGAGACATCCAAGGAAAGATAGTGAGTCAGCAATCAGGTAATCTACCTAGAGAGGAGGACTGCAGGCTGGCATTGCATTTGGGAACTGCCAGCCTGAAAATGGCAATTGAAGCCTTCAGAGTGGATTAAATCAACTAAAGGTCATAGCAGACACATGCTTGGCATTTCCTATGTGCCAGGTACCATTCTAAGACTTGTGCTGCGTGCTAAGTCGCTTCAAGCGTGTCCAACTCTCTGTGACTACATGGGCTATAGCCCGCCGGGCTTCTCTTGTCCGTGGGATTCTCCAGGGAAGAATACTGGTGTGGGTTGCCACTTCCTTCTCCAGGGGATCTTCCCAACCCAGGGATTGAGCCCATGTCTCTTATGTCTCCTGCACTGCAGGTGGGTTCTTTACCACTAGGGCTACCTGGGAAGTTTCATTGTTCTTGTTCAGTCGCCCACAGTCACCCAGTTACGTCTGACTCTTGGCGACCCTGTGGACTGCAGCATGCCAGGCCTCCTTGTCCCTCACCATCTCCCAGAATTTGCCCAAGTTCATGTCCATTGCATTGGTGATGCCATCCAGCCCTCTCATCCTCTGATGCCCTCTTCTCCTTCTGCCCTCAATCTTTCCCAGCATCCCTATTTCATTGACTCATTTAATCATTCAACAGCTCTGGGAAGCAGGTGCTATTGAAGGCCAACCTTGCAAAACTACAATATTTAAATGTCAGGTAAAGGAGGATGAGATGATAAAGGAGTCTGAGAAAAAGGAGGCATAGAGTGAAAAAAAGAAGGTGGTACCCTGGAAGCCAAGGGGAAAAAAAAGGAAAGAGGCAAGCTATGCTACTGAGGAATGAACCAGGAGGAAAGTGAAGTGTCTTCTTTTTTTACATTTTTGGCTGTGCTGGGTCGTCATTGCTCCACGTGGGCTTTCTCTGGTTGCCACGAGTCGGGGGCTGCTCTCTAGTTACCGTATGCAGGCTTCTCCCTGTGGTGGCTTCTCTTGCTGTGGAGCACAGGCTCCTGGGCTCGGGTTTCAGTAGTTGCAGCCCATGAGCTTAGTTGCTCTGCTCCATGTGGAATCTTCCCGGACCAGGGATCGAACCTGTGTCCCCTGCATTGGCAGACAGATTCTTAACCACGAGAGAAGTCTGGAAATGTCTTCTTTGTAAACAGAGATGATGAAGAGAAGGAAGAGTAGTAGTTGATGGAGGAGAAGTGGGTGCAAAAGCCAGGTCGGCGTGAGGGAGAGGAGGTGGCTGGGAATGGGAGGAGTGAGGAGAGGCAGTATCTGGGAGCGGGGAATGGGATGAGGGAAGGAGTCTTCAACATAAGCAATAATCGGACAGTAAATGCTCATAGAAAGGATTCTGTAAATGAGGAAGGCTAACTGTAGGAGAAAGATGTATATTTGTAATGTCAGCTTTCTAAAAAGGTGGAGGGGGGCAGATGGACCTTGGACCAGCTGGACAGATTGGCTTATGGACAGAAGGGAGACATCCCTGTTGCAATCAGTGGGAGAGAAGGGAACATGGGTTTCCACTGAGTCCAGATGCAGCACCCCAGGAGAATGGAGACCTGACATGGTTGTTCAGGCAAAGATGAGTGGGAAGCCAGCTGAGATTAGTGATTACATCAGAAGGTACCAGTCTGTCTCTCCCGCAGCAGGGTTCATCTGCCTACGGGCAGGCAGAGAGAGACAGTGGGTAGCTTGGATCATCAAGGTTGGTGGGGGGACTGTTGCTAGGCTGGTGTGAGCAGAACAGAGGAGCAAGGCATTCTGGGGCTATTGCTTGAGCTGATGACTGATCCTTTCAGCAGCGCATCTGAAATGCCGCTAAGAACCTCTGTGGGTCTCACTGCCAGGGGGTGGACTGTGCTCATCCCTTTGAACGTTATAGTCAAAAGAGCCAGCCAGCTGCAGTTTTTTTGTTTGTTTGTTCCTTTTTTTTTAATTTATTTTTATTAGTTGGAGGCTAATTACTTTACAATATTGTAGTGGTTTTTGCCATACATTGACATGAATCAGCCATGGATTTACATGTATTCCCCATCCTGATCCCCCCTCCCACCTCCCTCCCCACCCGATCCCTCTGGGTCTTCCCAGTGCACCAGCCCCGAGCACTTGTCTCATGCATCCAGCCTGGGCTGGTAATCTGTTTCACCCTTGATAATATACATGTTTCGATGCTGTTCTCTCGAGACATCCCGCCCTCGCCTTCTCCCACAGAGTCCAAAAGTCTGTTCT